TAATTATATATATATATATATATATATATATATATATATATATATATATGTTTTTTATGTTTGTATGTATTATAGATAGAAATAAGTAGAAAAAAAGAATATAAAGGATTGACAATATTTGAATCTCTAATAAACATTGTCCACTCTCATTAAATCCATATTCTGATTTAACTAATTCTTTACTTTTAACAAACATCTTAGGATTTGTGTGTTAAATACATACATTAGTATTGATATCAATTATTTTAAGCAAGGTGTGGTGTTAATTATAATGTCATATATTGGTCATGAATGATTTCTGGAAATTAAATCAAACCAATTAAAAATAGTCCTGATTTATCATCTCTACAAAAATATTTCCTTTATATATATATTGACATTTTATTATTTATGACAACAAAAAACCCAATAAAAATTCTCTTCAACATCTGAAACGAAAGCGTGCGCAGAGTTCTGCAGGAAGAGGATTAAATGCTTGCATGGCTTTCCTCGCCATGGCGGAGCCCAACATAAGCCGACCTACCGGAAGACAGAGAGCGCGTGTTTTGTGCCGCAGCAGAAGCGTCAGACCGCGTGCCGCCGTGACGTACGGTGGCAGATGCCTCATCCATCCCCTCCCCCCACCTTCCCCCACCTTTCATCATTCTCCGTCTACTACTGCTCCTTGCTGTCTCTCTCAACATATTTCATGCATTATGCGACACCATCATGTGATGGTATGGCTTTTGCAAGGGTTTGTCCTCTCATTCACAGCACCAGTTCAGTATAACAAGAGAGAGAGAGAGAGAGAGAGTTATGAGGGGGATACATTTGGCCAGATGCATTGCAGTGGTCAGATGCATCAAGAAATCTGGAGACACTGTGGATAGTGACACTTCATTTCCTTTCCACGATGCTTCTCTCTCTTCTCTCTCCTGCATTATGCACGAGCTTCATGTATATTGACTGCAATTTTACTCCTCAAAGCAGAAAAGCCTTCGCTTTCTGTGCAGCACATTCATGTTTCTTATCTTTTCCTGATGGAGAGGGGCAGAGAGAGATGAAAATTTTATTTTCATTAGCGGAAGTACAACAAGACATGTTACTCTTTAACTCATTTCTGTCCTGATTTTTCTGGAATACATTCATGTTTCTCATCTTCGCCAGATGAAGAACTGCATGGAAACATAAATGTAGATGTACCATAGACATCTTTGGTGGTTAAGAAATGGTTAATCTTATATTATCTAATAGGCTTGCTATTATTTATTTGTGACATGACTAAAAGCAAATACGTATAGAAGAATTCGGGCTAAACTTCAACAAAATAAGATTAATATACATCAGAATTTTTGAAGTAATTAAACAGAATGGAAGTAGAAAAGATAATCACATTAGTTTTACCAAAATGAGCTTTAATTTTAGCATGCCACAAGGATTCTAATCGAATTTGGCACTTCTGTGTCTTCATTTTAGGTTCATTGGTGCAGAATCTTGAGTTCTTCTTTGCAACTCTTCTATCAGATTTATTGCTTCTTGGATAAAACCATTAAACAACCAGAATTAGCCATTTTCAGATATCTTGTTGATCCTAAACCATGTTCATGATGTTTGCTATTTGCTTCAATGTTACAGAAATTGATCCTTAGCTTACTGTTGAATGATTCATTACCATTTCAATTCTATGAATATAAACTAAGAATCCATATGCTTACTTTAATCATAGCAAGAAAATACTAAGACAAATGATCATTGGTTGGTCATCTTCAAAAACCATTAGCTGCTGACCTATCTCTTAGACTTTCTATATGATTAAAAGGAGAGCAAAATAGTTTGATATGATGTTTATTTGGCAGAATTGTAAACAAAATGAGGAGTTCTGTAGAGTTTAATTAGCAACATATTACCAGAATAAAGAAGAGTTTAGTTGGCAGTAAGTAGGCGACGAACAAATTATTGATGATAAAATTTCTAGTACATGAGTCTGATTAAAAATATAATCCAGGGAAAGCAGTAAAATAAAATGTACTTGCTTCAAACTTGACATATAGAACACAAGTTTAAGATATTAATGCACTACATTTACTCAAGATTTATATCTTTCATCATAATTTCCGAGCCTTTAGGCACCCTAGCGAAGCCACTGCCTCCCTCAAGCCTTAGTTGCGTATTATCATCAAGGTTTCGCCCGATATGAATATGAGGAAAGTGTGCCCACTGCAAAGCAGCAAACATCAGTGCACAAAATTATTGAGCAACTGAGCAAAAAAAATGATAATAGATTTGACTTATATTGATCTATATATAGTATTATGATTTAGACTAAAAAGTTTCAAGTCCAACCGTTCGTTCTCAATCTTCCAACGACACAAGACTTGATCGATCAGGCAAACTTGCATCATCAGTGAAAACAATCCAATAGCTTTGTTAATTGGGCATGTGTTTATAGTTGCACTAGAACTATCTTATGAGTTACCAAAATCTTATAAGCTATCATATAAGTTGCACTGAAGAAGGAAAATGAAATTGTCTAGTACTCTTTCAAGTGCAACCAATTTGAAGAACTGAAGTAATATGGCATGAGGATAATAAGCTGATGATGGAGAACACTAGTAATGAGAAGTATCAGGAGAAAGCACATTGTATCAATCACATAACATGGCTTCATTGTTGATCCAAAAATATTTAGCAGCATGCTATGTATAAAGTCCTGAAAGTATATGAACTACAAAAAGCATCAATGAAAATGATATCAATGATTTACTCAGGATATCTGCATCGGAAAAAAAAAAAAATCAAGGCATTGCACTTTTCAGGTAAAATAAAAACTATTTTCATTCTCTGTGACTTGTTAAATGTACATGCAAGACACTCCCACAATGAAAAACTAATCAAGAAAAAAGGATTATATTTTCAGAAAAATTCAAGTGAATTAAGTTGATGATCTGATTTTCCATTCTGTGACAAGTGTTCAGGTATTTTCTAGTGATGTTATCTTCATGTCTATCCCACTGTAGCTAAACATACATCTGTTGACAGGAGTAAGATGCCACTTTCCTCAGCTAATAATATGTTAATAAACACAAATGCAAACAGCTCATCTCACTGAAAGATGAAGAGCAACATTGACTTGTTTGTGTACACAAAGGTCATTCTGAACTTAAAAGCTATATCTAATAAGAAAATGACTTCTAAAAATTCAAAAATAACATTAACAGAAGGAAATACTGGAAATAATAAAATTATAAAACTCAATTTTAATTGCCAGTGAGCTTTTTTGTTTCAGATATATTTTTCTACCCATTTTAGAGAGAGAGAGTTAAAGATGCATAATTTTCCTTATATAGTTAGTCAATATTCCCCTGTTAATGTTTTCCTCAACATATCTGGTAAATCTTTATCTACTTTGGTAATTGGGTGAGCTATGATAAGATTCAACCATTCAATATATATATATATATATAAACAATACTTGGTGTAGACTCTATTTAGGTTAGGACCCATTTGACTATAACAATTGAATAGCCTGACTTCAAATGGCTGATCCATCATAGAGCTCAGGTGATAGCTTAGGCCCCTGTGCAGTAGCCCTAGTCAAAATCAACAAAGGATCACTTACATCTTTCAAGATAACTAATACATATATGACATTGGAGATTTCTATTGTTCTTTGAAATTAGTTTCTTAATGTGCATTGACCTTTTATGGTACCAGCACTGGAATCCAATATTATTTGCAACATATATGAGAGATTGCTAAAACAATTGGACCCAGAAAATAAGATAATACAAGTATTATACATTTCATTATCATCTCAAGCCAAGTGTTGTATAAATGTACATATATTGCTTCCATTGTATTTCTAGATAGGATGGTCCAAATGATCTTTTCTTAAAAAATCATTTAACTAAGACTGTGGCATTGAAAACAGTAGTCCCAAAGCATGAAAAAAATGATAGATTTGTGCTAAAGCATTTAATCCATGTTACTAACTAATATATAAAAAATAATTAGTACAATATCACCTTCTTATGTCGATCAAAGTATTCTTTCCAAGTCTCAACATTGAGACCTTTTGATGTTGCCCACATGGCTATCACAGGTGATTCCTTTTATAAGAGCATAGAATGAACCAATTAAGTTGAAGTTCCACTAACACATCAAGGTATATCATTTTTATAAATCAATTTTAATTTATTTGATCAAATATTTGGATAAACAATTGTCTCATGTTCATTTAATAGCATTAGCTTTGCTTTTGGTGATGGCATTTAACACAACTTCACCTGAAGTGTAACTTTAATTTTCTTTCATTGCACCATCAATATCATACTCACATTCTTTGCTGCTGCACTGAATGCTTCCTTGTGGCTAATGTTAGGATTATTTGCCTTGATCCTTTGAATCTCCTCCCTACACCCAAAAACATAAATTAATGGCAGATAAAACATTTAAGCGCCATCATGATCAGTGTTCTTTAGAGTGCAGTAATCTAATATTGGAAACTCACTTGATAAACCTGTTGTAAGCAGAAGGAACACGTTGTCTCTTTTCTGGGGCTGCTTAACATAAAAAGGATATTAGTAAGTTAATTGTTGTCAATTCATTAGCTTTAAACTAAGCATAATTAAATTTCTTGGTAGGGTGTTAACAGTTTGCAGAGGCCCATATGATTGAATGCATGCAAAGGATGCTATAATCATAGGCAGAAATCTTATCGAACATTTCATAATCGAGGAGATCATTATTGTAGTTCTTTTGGATAAATACAAATAATAAGATTTATGATGATCTATATGACTTTCTGTTTATGAGATGTTGCCTTATACTGTTCAAATTATATAATCTTAGTTGACACAAATGCATATGAACTTGCTTGAGCTTGGCTCAAAAATGTTTAGATTGTGTTGCTAATGATAAGTGTAGAGTTTTCATAAATTAGTGGGCTAGTAAAAGAAAAAAAAAGGGGGGGTAAATTGAACTTTTCTACAGATTTGCATGAACTTTTTGGAGTCTTGACTTGCTATGGGAGTCTTCTTTTGATCAGGAAGAGGATGTTATTCTAATATGTCCTCGTAAAACTTTCGGGTTAATGTAATCTACACAAGATTTTGAGTGCTTCATGGATAATGATTTGTACTTTAGATATTCTTTCTATCTTGGAAATTTAGTGAAGTAAACATAGACTAAACCAAGTTAAGATTCTTTTTTTCGGTTTAATTCCTGTATCAGGATATGGAGCTACTCAGGTATCACAATGGTGCACTTAAGAGAGATGATAAGCATTAGAAGAGATGCTTACGGCGAACCGGTAGCGCTTGTTGTCGATCATTCTTCATTGAGTACATCAGTGAAGTCATGGCATACTTTGAGGATGATCCATACTCCATTGGGTTTCCATTAGGTGCGATGCTGTAGGTCTGTCCTTCTCTCAACATCAAAATGAGACATGTGAGAGTTCATGGTGCATGAACAAGCTACATAGTAGGGTCTAGTAACCAAATGTTTCATGGAAGTGTTGTGCATCCAGAAATATTTATAGAACCTGAAGATCTTGCAATGGGAGAGTGTGAAGCACAGATCCCATATGCACAGAGAGCAAATTCGCGCAATGTCCGCATCGAACGGTTACCATGTTGAACAGTTTGTTGCCTGGAACACTAACCTGAATGCACAGCAAGATAGTGTCAGAAGTTTTAGATTGGAAGATGTTTAGGGTTCTACTTTAGCAGCAAGTTCATAAGTCAAAGCATTTCAACAATTGAATGAGTGTTGCTCGAATTAGGGTCATCTGAAACATCTTTGATAGCTTCATCCTAGATGTATTATTTGCTCTTCCATCATAAACAGCCTCTTGTGGTTCCAACTCAGATACCATCGGCATAGCTATATGGATTCTGAGCATGCAACTTGGCATTAAGAATCTGTCAACAAGAAAGCCAGAACACAAAGACAAGATAATGTTGGAGAGAGGAAGGAAAGGAGAAGAAGAAGAAGAAAGAAGATGTGGAAATGCATGCACTACTAGTAGAGGAGGAAACAGCTACTTAAGAATGACTTCCTTTTATGATCTCACTTCTTTTTATGTTGTTGAGCTCCTCTTTTCCGATGTCTGCCTTTAGGAACTCAATACATGAGGAGGTAAAGCGAGAGTGGTATGCATTCCAGACATCAGAGGAGTGAGAAAGGGCACGAACTCAAAAGAAGAGACAAGATAAAAACAAGGGGAAAGCAAAGGCTGCTACCATCAAGAGCATTCTCTCTCCCACTGACTTCTTTGTTACTCCCAGCTGCTCTTGGTCAATGAAACATGTAAAAGAGTTGGTTCATATAGAGAGGAAAACGACACGACGAGCAGCCCACATCGATCCACACATCTCATGATGTGCGAATGGAAGGGAAAACCAGTAGATGCTTGTAGGAATCTGATGGAATCTGTTCCAAGACCTTTCTCGAATGTTTTGGAAGCTTGTAGAGGAACTTAAACGCAAAATGGAAAGATGGATTCCGACTGTGAAAAGCTTACTTGACTCGATCTCTCAAACAACTTTCTCGATGCAAATATAAACGAAGGATCAAAAGGTTGAGATTTTGCATTTGATTCACACATTACATTACTGTACCAAAAAGATCTTCACATCCTTTCCACAAAAAAATAGAGAACAACACAAGGAAAGGAAATATCAATGAAATCTCAGCAAATAAATACATATTTATTTATTTCATCCATAAATGATGAGATTGGGAGAAGACATGAGACTCGAATCATTCCATGGAGAGGAATGAAAAGAAATTGATCTATATTAAGCATAAATTTTTGGTATTCAACAAATAAAAGGCATGTGAACCATCTGACATCGTATGAGTTCTTTCTGTCAGATCATCATCATGCAGCAAGTGACTTCAGATGACTGTATTATCTGATTCATGCACATTGTAAGAAGATATCAGTAAAGTCACCTTAATTACCAACAGCAAGTATAAACCAGGCCTGCTCGACAACCTCATCATGACTAGCTAGAGTTAATCTCAACATGATGCATGAAACACTCCTCAACAAGCCCAAGAAAGCTTCAGCTAGTCATCGGCTTGCTAATTGGAAGTGTTTCTTTTTAGGCAAGCTAACTGGATGTCTCAGAAGCACAAGGAAAGACAAAGATGGGTATGCTTTTGTTAGTTACCCTTGATCAGTTGAATGAACAGATCTCCATTTGTGTGCACAAAACTCATCTAGAGAGAGAGAGAGAGAGAGAGAGAGAGAGAGATGGACTATACCGCAAGGATCGTGTTGCAAAAGTTGCAGTGGACGTAGCAGATATGCTCCGGAGCAACCTGGGCCGACATTTCCAGTTCAGAAGCTGAGAACGATCTTTGCACATATGCTGCGAAAGAAGAAGAAGAAGAAGAAGAAGAAGAAGAAGATGGAGGAAATGAAGAAGATGTGTAAATGATAAGATTATATATAGCAGATCAAAGGGGGTGATTTCCTTTCCTTAATTTCGCGTCTTGTTTTCATCGAGCGACAGAAACAAAAAGGCAGGCGTGGGTGGGGGCAACGTTTGCGAGTGGCTTTGTGGAGACCTCAGGCTGGAGAGGTGGAAGCGTGATGATTGATCGAATGAGTGGGTGCAAATCTCTCTCTCTCTCTCTCTCTCTCAACAACATGTGGAGTGGGGAAGGGGTCTTTAATGGATGCATAAAGAAAGAGAGGGAGAAAGAGTTACCATTGGGTGGCAGTGGGAAACAAAACAACAAATACCAAGGAAATCTACTGTGCTTCCTCAGAAAAGATTAAGGATATGTGCTGTGGAAAACAACTGCTACCAAACAAGGGTCACAGGCATCATTTTAGAGTTATAAGCACCACCTCATCAATCACAGCCATGTGTGCCTCCCAACTCTCCATCCACTGCTGTTGATCTCCTGAGTAACTTTCCAGTCCATGGATCTAATCATCCATCTCTCTTAACCCTTGCAGCATTCACTGGCAGAGGTACTTCACCCAAGTACTGCTTTGCACATGCGTGCACTGACATGTAAAGATTAAGAACACTGCATGACAAACAAGATCATGTTGACTTCTTTTATTTTGTTTGACCTAAATGCATCTGTCGACCTTTCACATTCTTAATTGGTCTGTCAACTACCTCATCATCATAAATGGTGGCTGCAATTTACACAACAATCATAAAGGTGGAAGAGGAAGCAATAAGGTGAATTAGATTTGGCTCAAGGAGATGGGGGTTAAAGTCACATCTGCAACAAATGGACAACCTGTTCTATGGATAGCAGTGGATTGGACACATTGGACTAAGCTGGAGTTTCTGCTACAGACCATCATGTGAATCAAAATCCTCAAGCATAAATCTCTTTCATGATCCAGTTAACCAGCAACAGCTAAATAAATTTGCCACTCCAGAAAAGAAGAGAAAGAAAAAGATTCATATAAACTCAGATAGATAATGTTGTGTCAATGAGGGATGCCTTCTTCTCCCTAGAAAAGAAAGAAGGGACAAAATCAAATTACCTAAAGATCAAAACTGTACTAAAAGATTAATTATTATTAATGACCTCTTTCCTGGTTTTAAATAGTAGTAGTAGTAGTAGTAGTAGAAGAAGAAGAAGAAGAAGAAGAAGAAGAAGAAGAAGAAGAAGATGAAGAAGAAGAAGTAGATGATCTCTGTGATTGCACTTTTTCTTACATTACACATCCACAATAAAACCTAAACCCCATAGGACCAGATTGTTCATGTCCTTGCTTGATACTTGGCTCTTCCTTGTGACATTGATAGATATGTTGGATCATTGAAGAAATGTCTTTGAGGATTATTATTCTGGTTCCTTCTGTGGCTAGGACACAATGCTTCTTTCTACTTAGGCTTCTTTGTGTGGTTTCTCTGTGATGATGTGAACAAGGTTTGGCCAGTGATTCAGACATGTTTTGCGCGAATAATGCTACATCGATTTGATCCATTCTGAAAATGGTTGTAATTGACATAAAGAAATTAACTTGAAAATAATACATGATTTACAAAAACTTAACAATCTTATTCCTATTTGCCATATAGGTAATTGGAGATAGAACAAAATCTTCTGTGATGTGAAGTCTATGAAATCATTTGAACCACCAATTTAGTTCTCTGGTTCCATCTGCTAGAACATAATATGAAAAAGAAAAGGTAGATAGCAACATAAATGGGGAGCAAGAAAACCTATAATTATTAATATAGATGTTTATTTTGGTTTATTATGATTTGTTTTTCTATGTTCCCCACCATCTTTTAGTAAACAACAAAAGACTGCAAACCAGAGGATAATACTCTACTAATTTCTTTTGTAGATTAAGACAAAAGCCAAATAAAACTTAGTTAATATCTCTCATTGCACAACACCTTGTTTGCTTGGAAGATTAAGATCCAATGTGTTCATCTTCAAGGCATCAAACAAAGGAAAAAAGTACAAATATGAGATTGGAAAATAAGCTACAATCCAATTTATTGTGACAACAATATGCCCAAACCACAAGATTCCAATTAGATCAATCTAATCAATTTTCCATAGCATGTAGATTAGGCACATGTCCTCAGTTAATTTAAGCAAATCACATACACACACATATTATACGATGTTGTTCGCTCGCATCAAATAATAACTCATTTCGGGCGAACATGATAATCTCCGATAAAAAATCTTACAAGGAAAAAAGATAGGGGGAACATGAAAAAGCTTTATTGTCACCAAAATTATTCGTCTAAAAATTTATGATAATGTATTTATGGACTAGAAAATCTTAAAATTGATGTATCCTATCTATATAATTAAAGGCTGCTCGTTTGCTTCTTTCACACCAAATGGACTCTTCATAAACTTCCTTCCAGCCTTGTGTGAAAATCACAATCAAATGATGTGTTTACAATCTAAAATGACAGTGCTATCAACTCAAAAGGAATTGTGACTTCACAAGAGCTTCCAAGGGTCATTAATTGGGAAAATAGACCCCAAAACCTGTTCTGTGATTGCCATTTAATCAGCTTGGAGCAATCAAGTTAAGTACAGCAGGCTTTTTTCTTATGATGGAAACTTGATCTGCAGATTGATGGGAAAGAATCAAGTTGCTTACTCATGAATCTTCCAACTAGTGTTCCTCAGGGTGCCCAAAGATTGAAGGTTCAGTTCATTGACAAATTGCATATGTTTGTTCCTTAATTCATGATTGGGAAGATGAAACATAATGACTATGCTACCAGAAAAAGAGATGTAAAGATGCATTTAGAATAATTACTTGGTACATACTACAATAGCTCACATTGGCAGATATGTAAAGTAACTGAGAGAAACTTGTCATGTATAACCTTGGAATTCACAACACACTAAAGTCATGCAGCCCCAAGCTATAGCAAAGCTTGTGTTCCAACCATCAGAACTGTTTTCTATCCAATCTAGCATAGATTGATCTATCATGTCAGTTTGAGTAGATATGGATACAAAAACAGGAAGCTACATAATCTCCTAAGCATTAAGGATCAGCTATATGAATCATTTCCCATCGTCAAGTATTGTGCATCTCTATCTCATAAAGAGTCAACATTTACCTACATAGAACTTCCAGATACAAGACAAGGTTGATAAGGCACAAAGCCTTGTCCCTCTCCACAGGATAAGGTTGAACCGGCGGTGGAGTGGAGAAGTCCAGTGGAAGGGGAGGTGCCACCCAAGCTTCATTTCCTCTACATCCATTCTAGCAACATGGATCGTCCTCGACCTCAGCCTCAGGTTCTCACTGTCTGTTGTTGACCTGCCCACTCCCTTTCAGTGGCCCGATCAGGTGGGTCTCTTCATTTGGGACAGGAAGAAGCGTCTCATTCAGCCAATGTGGAGTGGATTTACTACGCAACTGGTTTGTCACTGTCACAGGAATGAACAGTGAGATATATAGTCATTTCCGCTAGAATCTTGCAGGCAAATATGTCAAGTAGAAACAGTCCATGAAACTTGCAGAGCTTCAAAAGCTTCTGAACCATATATGCAGAACGAAGCTAAAAGCAATGAAGTACAATTTGGTCACCGATAACATGTCATCGACAAGCAGTCAAATGAACCAAACCAACAGGTAAAAACCATTCTAAGACAGCAATTGCAACTTCTTAAGCAAATAGAATACACATTAAGTCCAAGTTAACTGTGATAGATCTATCTAATCCTATACACAGATTCAATCCTATAACATAGACTAAACTGCTATGTTTGGAGTTGGCTTCAGCTTTTCTGTGCCTCCAAATGTCATCATCAAGATCATTCAACAGTTCTTTCCGGTGCCGTAAAGGAAAAACTACAACTTAGCTCATAGAAAAGGACCAGATGACATACCAATCAAGAATTGGGACCAGAAAGAAAGAAAGCAACAACATTAACACATTTCTGATGCTCTGACTTTATTATTCCTTTTCTATTTTCTACCCAAAAACAGACCCTGGTGCTTGGCAAGGCTACTCGCAAATATTGCCCACCAAAGGCAGGTAAATTGATCTATAGATTACACCACCATAGAAGTCTTAAAGAACAAAAGCTGAGTACTGCTTTAGCAGTCATTTTTTATCTTATGACACATCATTTCTGCAAAGAAAAGTAGAGATTGAAAAATCTGCAACCATAACAACATAATATTATGGAAACCATACTACTACTAACTCAAATGTCCAAAAACAAATGGGGATAGTAGTGATCTTAACAGACCTCTTCATGAAAAGAATAAAATGATAACAGTAATCTGTGGATTGAGGATTACACATGTGAACAGAGTCAATATATTAGCTCCAACTATATGTTGATACCACTTTGATGGTAATTTGGTCTATTTTGTTTGTCTCCAGTGAGAGACATGATCTACTGGCCATAAAAGGTTAGTCCTAACCACAGTTTGATTCAAATCGAAACTTAATCGGGCTGGAATCGGCTCCAAACTGAAACAGAATCGATCGCGGGCACTTCAGTTTGGTTTTAAATCATTTTAATATATTTAAAAGAAACATAAATCACATATATAATTATGGTGCAGTGATTAAAATATTAAATATAAATCAATAAACATGGGCTTAAGTCTTGAGAGAGGCTTTTTGTTTGATTAAAGATTTTATAATTTTATTTTTTTTTGAAAGAGGTATTTAGTTGGATGAAAAATTTTATAATTTTATTTCTTTTAAAATTAAAATATAATAAAAATTGATGATTCAAACTAGAACCGAAACCGTCCAAACCAGAATCAAAACTGATGGTTTTGGTTCGATTCTAGAACCAAAACCTAAGTGGTTTAATTTGGATCCCTGGTTTTGGAAAACCAGAATCGATAGTTTCGGAATCGTGATCAGGTCTACTAAAGCACCTTCATAATTCAATTTGAAACCTATCAACTATAAAATACTTTGTTGATCAAATGACAACTTAAGAGATGTTATGACTTTAAGTAGTTCCATTCTCTTAAGAGATTGGTTGTAGCCCTCATGAATTAGATATTTTGAGATTAATCATGATTAACTCAAATTCGAAGCAATAAGAAGGGATCAAGAAGCTAAATTAAGCATACTATAAGCAAAGCTAATTGCAAAATAATCCCACTTAGATTTAGTCAAAGAAAGAATACAT